AATCATAGCGACATCGTTGGCACCGTCTCCGATAGCAAGAGTGAGACAGTCCAGGCCGGTCTTCACCATATTGACGACAGCTGCCTTCTGACTGGGACTGACTCTGCAGCAGAGAACGGACCGGCATCGCCTACACAGAAGAAGGAACTTTCTCTTTACCGAATCATCCAGAGCCAGCTTGAGAGTATCTCCGTCAATGATGATGGCATGCGTAGGTGGTGGAGGTTCGTGATCGTTTTGAGCGGCGGCTAGCTCTTCTTCAGAGCCTTCCAAGCCGAAGATCTTCAACTTCTCGTCAAGCTGGGCTTCCACGGAACCGATGTTGTCATCGGTAACCTTGAGAATGATGAGGTCCATGTCGTTATCGAGTAGGTTGCAAGAGAACCCAATGTTGATGGCTGTCTCAACTTTGTCACCCGTTAGGACCCACAGTTTGATACCAGCTTGACTGAGGAGAGAAATCGACTCTGGCACACCGTCTTGAAGTCGATCTTCGATGGCAGTTCCTCCGATCAGCCACAGGTGGTTTTCGATGCGATCAGAGACCTCTTCCAGCTTATCTTCACGCCCCTGGATAGCGTTGGCAGCGATGTCATAATCCCTGTTCCACTCTTGATATTCCTCTTCGGAAACCTCTCTTTGAGCGATGCACAGTGTTCGGAGTCCTTCTCGTGCAAACATTTCCAGGTGTTCACCGGTGTCGGCACGGAGTTGTCGCTGCTCATTGGGGATCAATCTCGAGTAGATCATGCTGTCGGCTCCCTTGCAGAAGAGGACGATTCGGTTGTCGGGCATTCTGATGATCGCGCTCATGCGCTTCCTGCTGGAGTTGAATTCCAGAGTATTGAGAACCTGGTATTTGCGCTCTTCTCCCAAAACATTGACAACGAGACGGTCGTCTTCACGGCCTACGAATGTGAAGCCACAGTCGCGAGCAGTGGCGACAAGTGCAGCTTCGTCGGGCGATTGTGCTTTGAACTCGATCTTCGGTGGGTCGCCTGGAGTGCGTTCGGTAACAACAGTATGACAGAGGGCCAAAGCGATCATGAATTCCTCGTTGGCTCTCTTCTGTTCCATTCCAGAGTCTCCACGCAGGTCGTCGACATAGTCCGGGGCAATGAAGGTCAGGTCGTCGTCCCACAAGTAGGGGTTGTTGTGCATCTTGCGGATCCCCTCGAGCATCCGCACACGGTCGCGTGCTATCTGTTCGCGGGCTTTGGCACCCTCCACTTCGACGTTGATACCCTGTCTGCGTTGCATACCTGCTTGAGCCTCCGTGTACGCTTCTCCGTAGGGCACACCATTGATGGTCGCCTTCTTGAACTCCATGACGTTTTGTGTGAGCGTTCCCGTCTTGTCCGAGAAGATGTATTCGACCTGACCCACGTCGTCGGAGATGTTCCAAGACTTGGGCGTACATGGGTAATCGAGCTTTGCGTAGTACATGTGGATGTCGCTGTAGATGAAGAGGGCCTGCAACGTTCGAATGATTTCCAAGGTGATGTAAAGAGAAATGGGAACCAAATTCTGGAAGAGAATAACGGCAGCCCAGAACGCAATGACACCGTCTGTGGCAGGGTTACCTCCGTAGGACCCATATTCGAAGAAGGAATGGGTGGTGTCGTCCCGGGCCCATGTGACCCCAAGCACGATTCCAGAAACCAGACACATGGCGGCCAGGATGAAAAAGTTGTATACAACGTTCCAATTAAGTTCTTTTGATATCCTGGCTCGCTTGCTAGGCGTGATACCAGAGTTGATCATGATCTTTGTCTCTTCTCCGGTAAATACGACAACGCCCAGCACCCACTCAGTGTTTCGAAGTTGGCAGCCACGGAGGATGAGGTTGTTGATAGAGATAGGCTCGACCATCTCGTACGGCGGTGCTTCAGGGTCCTTTGCATTGTGCTGCTGCCATCTGATGGCTGCGCTGTACGAGTAGAGGTTCGAGTGGGCGCCTTCGCTCTCGATGACGAAGTCGGCGCGTTCGCAGTGTCGAGCGTGTCGCACTTCTCGGGTGCAGTGCAGTGCGTTGCGCACCTTGAGGTTCGTCTCACCGTCCAAGTTCTTCGTCTCGACATAGCACGCGCCGTCGTCGGAAGAGGTGGAGAGAACAATGACGTCGGCGGGGATCTCCTCGTCGTTGTACAGGCGCACAAAGTCGCCGACCTGAACGTTCTTCCAGGCGTCCTTCTTGAAACGTGCCTTTTCCGGGACCGTCTTGTTCGGGTTCAGGACGCTTCCCCAGAACTTCTTTTGCACACCGGGATTGGCGTCTGCACCGCGGATCTTGTCTCCTTCTCCTGGACCGGAAGTCAATGGAGGGGATTGCGCTGGGGATTGGCCTGGGAGCGGTGAAGGCACGGGTGTCATCTGGATGTCGTTCTCGCCGCCAAAGTAGGATTCCCTGTGCGATGCGATGGATGCTCTGCGGGTCTCGTGCGAGGGGCGCGTGCCGTCGACAGCGTTATCGTCGCCGCCTTTGCCCTTTGCACCCTTCTTGCTCTTCGCGTTCTTCATCAGACGCCATGTTGAGATTATGCCTTTGGTGGTAGCCTTCTTGATCCTCCGCCATAGCGAAATCGAGTCCTCGGCCGTATTTACGTTGTTAAAGTCGACGAGTCGGTGGACGGGCGCGTTGTTCAGCTCGTTGTCGAGGACGGTTCTCCGCCAATCTTCTACTCCGTCCTTGATGGAGGTTACGACGAGAATGACGATGAGGGGTACTGCGTTCAGCGCAGGATTACTGGCGCCGAAGATTGAGAAGATCTAGATGGTCATGTTAGTCTGGGGGTGTCGGAAATGCCGGAGGGGGTGGTACGCACGCCCAGGATAATGATAAACAAGAAGTAGACGTTGGCGATGTTGTGGAACTGGAACCACAGGTTCTTGGGTATGAAGCTGAGGGGCGTGTATTTGGCGGTTCTTATCTTGTTGCGGGCGTAGTGTGCGAGGGGCTGGCCTTCTTCGTCGCGCTCTGTTTGGGGCAGCGGCACGTTGAAGTAGACTCTCCGGCCGGAGTCTTCGTGGTCGGCGCCTGCATCTGAACTCTCAGGGGACTGGTCGTGGTCGAGCGGCGGCCCGCCTTCTTTGCCCAGCGAGTCTCGCTTCTCGCCGCCAGAGCCTATGCGCCGGTGCAGGCGCTCCTTGAGCGAGTGTCGCTTGTTGGCCGCTTTGATGCCGGTTGCGCGGTGTGTTGCCCCTGCGTGGCTCCCGTCAGCGCGTGCTCTCAACTCTGTGCGGTCAGCGGGTGGTGTCACTCACAACGTATGCGCTTCTGCGGATGTGACACCTCGGTCTCATTGGGCTCCATGTAGGGTTGCAGCGTCATGGTGCCTGTCGTCGGGGAGGCTGCGGCGGTGCGAGGGCGGCGACGGCCTGAGCCGGGAAGGCTCTACGCGGCGCGGCAGGCCAATTCGATCGTGTCGGACGCGGGTACGAGGCGACGGGTGCAGTGCATGTAGTGCCGGGCGGGTGTTGAGGGGCGGTGGGAGCGTGGTGGTGTTGTTGTCGCGGAGGGTGAGAACAGATGGGCGCCCGTGTAGTCGGATATTAAAAGATGCCGGACGAACTTGCACGCAGAGGCGGAGCGACAGGCAGGCAGGCGATGCGACGGGCGATGAATTAGGCGGTGCAGTGTCGTCAGTACACGATGAGGCCCAGCAGCACGAGGGGAAACAGCGGAGCGGCAGGTACTTCGACAGACCCTGACAGTGATGAATGGATGGATGCGATGCTTGCCATGTGCTTACAGAAGCATCGGCGCGGGAAGCACACGCCTCGCACTCCCTCGGCCGGCCGCTACGGTCTTAACAAGATGCGAGCCTAGTTGCTCTTGGAGGACCCGCACTGCGATCTGATCATTAAACGCACCAACACAGGAGCATTTATTTCTGTCGCGCGCGTTGGCGACGCGTGGCCTGGCCGCTCCAGCACAGAGGCAGTAGACACAGTGCACATCCCCATCTCAAAGCTCGGCAACAGTGCCTCAGAGGGAAGAGAACACATCCTCTGCAACGCATGGCCCCAGCATGTCAGCAGTCAGCACTTGGGCTTGCCAGTGCCAGTTCATGGACTAATCGCAGCGGAGCTTCCGCGGGCCACCGCCAGCAGCCCTTCTAAGCAGGTCGAGTGGAGCATCATCTCAGCCCTCTGTCCTTCGACTCCGCTGTGCATGGCGTAGCCGGGAGATCCTCAGTTCCGTGCTTCGTACAACTCACTTTTCACAGCTGGCACTCGGATTAATGAAGCGTCTAGAGCCGCATCCATGTGCTTAATATAACACCTCTAACGGTGTACGCCTTTGAACCTCAGATCTGATACTGCCCAGCGCAGCGAGAGCAATGCGAAACCGTTGAAACAGACGTCACCACTCTGTGAGGGCGGCATCGCTCGGATGCGAGCTACTTTCTGCAGGTGAAAATGGACCTCCGTCCAGCGAGATTCGGATGCCGGCCAATGCGGATTCCGATGCATGTCGTCAATGGCAAAGAATCTAGCCCGCCTGCACGCCCTGCGCCAGGCAGCGAGGCGTCCACGGTGGAATGCGCCCAGATGCTTAGCCCCGGGTCAATTCAGGGCTGTTCGTCGACCTGGCACGTGACAGCGTGCTGTGAACTGTGGAATTATTCCCGGCCTCGAGGCGCCTCACGCGTCACGACGTTGCACCACCAGGCACCCCACCCGTCTACACCACCACCCCTCTATTATTCTCCGCCATGAAACCCCAAAAGAAAAGCATCCGAGACTTCTTCTCGCCCGTTTCCAGAACCCCTCCGCCTGCTGCTAGCCCGCAGACGACGCTGCCTCAGAGAAGTACACGCCTCCCACCAGTATTGCTGCCCCAGGCTAACCGCACACCCACTGCAGATGCAAACAATGCGCCTACCCGTCAGTCAAACCCTCCAAGTTCGTCTGGAGTGTTACAGGACGCAAATTTACATGCCGTCCATACCCCGCTTTCTTCGTCAAACACACCCGTGTCCAGCGCGCCGTCTACAATGAGAGCTGCGAGTGCCGATGCGCCGCCTTTCAACCCCTCCCAAACATCCGCAAATTCAGGCGCAAGCAAGCGCACCACATCCAATGGCCAGCAGGTGGTCCTCGACTCGGACGATGATTCTCTACCAGACCTTGACTTTGGTCTACCCACCCCCAAAGTCAAGACAATCGTCACGACCACCACCACACGTTCTAAGCGCATGTCCGAAGACCAAGAGAACGGTCTACAAAAGCCGGCTAAGAAGGCCAAGGATAACAAGAGCAAGTTTGATGTACTTGTAAAGGCGGCCCACAAGAATCTCGAGACAGAGCGGCAGATCAAGGAGCACAGTGCGCTTCTGGACCAGTCCCTTGAAGAACACGCAGATACTACCCTGGCACTCAACGAAGAACTACTTGGCCAAGCTGTGGACGACGACGATGACCCAGAGAAAGCGCATCGCCTCCTTCAGGCCATGCAGAGAACAAATGCTACACAGATGGAGAGCGTCTACCATTTCTTCCAAGATCACTCGGACTCAATACAAGCGCAGCCCAAATTCCCCCTCAGCAGCCTGCCTAAGCATGGATGGGCCTCGATTTTCAAAGGTGGGATTGTTACAATGACGATAGGCTGGGTCTATTGCTAACATCGTTAAGACTCCCACGCCAGGGACCAGGCTTTCATGACCGGCTTTGCACAACAAATCTTTCGAATGCAACAACTGCCCGAAGAACTAGCTTCCTGGATGATTGAATGTAGTGCGTATTACGCGAACTTGATAAAATGTTTCTGCTAAGAACTGTAGTTTCCCAAAGCCGGAATGAGGCAATGAGTTGCAGATACATTGAAATCTTGGAATCAGAACCTCACAACAAACACCTCCGCACGCTGCTTGATAACGACAGGCTAGATTCTTTATTCGGGGCAATGGGGGCCAATACAACTCAATTCAAGGCGCAGACTGAGCTAGTCCCAACTTCAGTACCACGAACCGAAACTAAAGTCTTACTTCCTCCGTCACTGGTCTCTGTCGCCAGACTGCTTCAACAAGCAGCGCCAGTGTAGGTGGACTATATACATGTATGGTGCTTTGCTGACTTTGGTAGGCTACGTTCGAAAGCTCGAAGGCGTGCGCTCTCTATTCTTTGCCACGTGTGTCTGGATGACCGAGTTGTTGCAGATGCTCATATATTACACATCATCCAGGACGCTATGGAAGCTCTCATATGCAACCTTGATAATCACAAAATGACCTCCACCGTAGGGAGTCCTCCACTGCAACACGATACCCAGGCTCTAATCTCTTCACAGCTTAGCGATATCATCTCCCAACTACTTGTCAAAGTAACGCATCCTCTGCTTCAAAGGAACCTAGTCTGTTCGTTCCCAGCGACTTCACCATTAACGGCATACCTTCAACGCCACTTGGCTCTCGCGTTATTAGTCTACCCAGTACCAGTCGATGTAGAACTCTCAGACCCCAAGCTGCCTGACATGATTCACCAATACCTGGACAAGTCTTCGAATTTCCGAATAGACAAGGACACCGACTACGAGCACCTCACCGCACGTTTGACATTGCTTGACATTGCCATTGGGCCTGGCTTATTGAACGTCCCGTATCAGCCCCTATCAAGTCCAACAACGTCAGAAACCGGCTCGTCTCCAGTCAGGGCTCCAGTGCCAGCGTCATCAGAAGTCAAAGATTTCAACAACGAGGTGGATGCGCTTGCTCGGCAGTTCCAGCTACTCAGCAACTCCATCGTCGAGGCTGGCGCTGCGGTGGATCTTACCATCATGGACGCCAAAGATTCTATAGAGAGACTACGCGCACGACTAGAGCACGCTGTGCGGATAGGCGGAAAGAAGGTCTACAACGTCTTTGGTGATGAAGATGAACACACAAAGCCAAATCTCAGAAGGTTCTTTAAAAGCACGAGCAAAGACGCGCCGAAGAAGTCTATCTTCGACGAACAGGACGATGTAGCGGTATCACTAGCCGATGACTTGAAAGCCTGAACGGCCCTGTAAAGATGTTGCTCCGCAGACAAATTCAGATGATGCAACGACACTCGCATTGACAGAGTGTCAGTCTCAATAAACAACAATGTGCCAGTTTACCTCTCGTGGAAATTATCTCAATTGCAGAGACAACACCACCCTGCGCATCTTGACGAACCTTCATTGGAAATTAGTGAGAATCAATATGAGATGATCTATCAATACAGATATGTAACGATAATTCGAGATCGTATTGAAAATTGTCATACGATACAGCGCGCGATCCTATAGTTCTGTAACGCACCTGTGAAAGCGAAGTTCGCATCACCATCGGCACAGCACTTGGCGCCCTTCTCCGCGCGACAATCTTGGGACTTCAGGGGCGATCTACAGGAGAAGCCAAACCGGCGTGTCCCATTGCAGCGCGTCCGTCGTCTTCGCAGACTACCCAATGCGAGAAAACCATGCAATTTCACCTACTGCAATCCTTCGAAAACTAGCGTCTTAGCCAAAGGGTCTAGACAGGAGAGAAAAATCATGCGCGCAGCTGTATCCGTGAGGATGCTCGGTCGCGGCCCACAAGAAGAGATTCATCTCCTCCTGTCACATTGCATGGCGGGGCGAGGACGCGGCTTACTCATCTAACTACTGTACGTGCGTGCGTGAGGCGGGTTCTTGGCTGAGAGACCCGCAGGTCTTGCTCATTAAGAACACGTGTGCAGAGATACTCGTACAGATGGATTGCAAGGCAAGCAGGCGGCACGGGTACGCTTCACGAATGGCAGATGCACCTGGCGACATGGAAAACAAGTCCTTCAACATGCACGATGAGAGAGCTGTGGCGCATGCAGAATGCTGACTCGCTATCTGAGGCGGTGTGATGGTCCACTGACGGAACATGTGCAAGCTAGCAGGTTGCGTACCGTGGAAAGCTGGGAACGGCCTCGGCCAGGGTGCGAAGCGAAGAAAGGGAACGGGGGACCTCTAGATTTTGCGCATCTCAAAAGAGCGCGAGTGTTTGGGATAGTACGAAGGAACCAGATTACCTCTGCCTTGAGCACACGTAGACACTTCCTATCCGATCCACGCGCCTCTTCTAGCCCTAGCAAAGCGACCGAAAATGTCGCGCATATCGAGCCTACATGCCGAAGCCCACAACCCGTGACCCATTCCATCGCAGGGCCATCCCCATACAAACTCCACCTGAAATAATCCCGGTGGTAAAACATACAGCTAGCCCCGTTCTGCCACCACATGCATGCAGGTATCCTTGGTCTCGGTAACAGTTCTTGTTATTTCGGATAGCAGTTTCCGCGTTTGAACTAGATGCCGTTTGCCGATGAACGGTTTGGCGGCTTTGCGGGATGGTCCTTGTAAAAGTAAATGCACTGCTGCACTCGATGAGAATGCGGATTAGCGGCCTTTGACCGCGGCGTGCGGGCGAAGAATGTGACAGTGACAGCTGTAGTGAGGGCTTGGGGAGGCTTGATCTGTTTTGGTATTTGGTGTGTTTGGGGGTTGTGTTTTAGGTCGTGAGTTGGTGGGCTGGAGACGGGAGAACCCAAGGATTGTCATGACTATGTCAACTTGTGATGTCGATGAGACTCATATACTATTTCCATGCGGGTCGCGAATCTAAATTAACGCGTGGTATCCAGATCTATATACACAAAGAACGCTAAGTGCAGAAGCGATGCAAAGCTGAATGAAACCAACAAAGCCAGTCGTAGGGAGTATCAGCGCTGCTGAGTCCCCGTCATTACTTCCACATCACCAGCTGTAGACTATGGAGGGAAAGAAAGAGTCGTTCGATTGGACATGTACGTTCGTTGGCTTCGCTCCCGGCTCTTCCAAAAACCCCTTCTTTTTTTATTTTCAAATCATCCAACCGACTATATCCCACCAAGTCCGTTCTTCTCGTCAATGTGTCTGTAGCGCTCCTGCTCCATGCGGTACTTGAGGACCATGGCAACGCAGAGTACGAGGATCATGTCCACGCCGACGATGCCAAAGGCGGCAGTGAAAACGCGGTCCAGGTACGTGTTGGCGAATGAGGAGAACTTGCCGATGCATCCTCCCTTCTGAGCGGCGACCAGGGTGTTTTGGCATGTGCTGTCCTGGACGAATGGAGGGGTGGTCGAGTTCACGTAGCCGCAGCAGTCAAACTGTTCCTCGTCAGCTTGTGTGCACACCGGCGTGGACGTGCGGAAAATGCGCTTCTAGTGCTGACGCCAGTCATGGAGGACTCACCTTTTGCTGCAGGAGACTCTGAATAAGCGGCGACTCACGGCCCCAAAGTACACTGAGGTTGGTGCGGGTTTGCAGAGTTTCCACCCAGATGGCAATACCGAGTCCGAGTGTGAATGTTGCACAGATGACGACTAGCCAGCCCTGAGTACGAAGCCAGCCTCGGTTTGTTGGAAGGAAGAGTGCAGGGAGAGACAGCAGGAATGTGACGAAAACGAAGATGGCATTGACGACGCCAGCTGGATAAGGTGTTAGTTGATATTCCCTAAGACTGCATGTCCACAGGCGATGCGTGGGACGATGGGCCGCCACAGCAGTGCCAGAATATCGATTCCTTCGACACCCCCATCGCCCATTCGTGAAATTCGTACCTGTCAGCGGACACTGGCCGAGCAGCAAGTTCTGCGTGACGTTGTCTACGGTCGGAGTGGCGCGCATCGATTGCTCAGATATGAGGGAGAAGCCCAGCAACAGTCCTCCACATCCGGCGAAGAGGAAATCCATGCCCACAAAGGCCATCATCAGTTTGGTCGGCATCTTGACGGTAGTGGAATTTGACGGAAGAGACTGGAGAGAAAGGAAGGATTGGACAAAGAATGGAAGTCGAGCGCAGCGGAGCCGTCCGGCGTACTCTCGTGAACTACGTCGATCAAAGCGATCAACGCGAATTATTAGATAGAAAGTAGCGAAGAGAAGAGAAGGTGGTAGCAAGAGCAGCGCTCGCGCGGAAAATGCATGGCATTGGGGACACGGGGGCCTTGAGCATTAAGAAGCACTGCGCAGGCGCGTCGCAGTTGGACCACGGCGATGCGTGGGTGGTTTCAGTAGTGTTGGAGCATGGTGGGCGGCCAATCACGGGCGCGAACGGGCATAATGGTTCGATGTTTTGGCGCTGCGACGTCGGTGAGCCACAGACGAGTGGATCGCGGCGTGAGGATGCGACGAGAAGTTTGGAACATTCATCAGGAATTACTTGAGATGCAGTGAACCGCGGCATTTGGCTGTCACGAGGCGCGGTGGTGGTGAGTACCCAGCTGCTGCCTCACGCAGGCCGCCACCAACAGCGCAGGCGTGCGGGACGAGGGATCACGTGTCCGAGTAAGCCTTAGCTTTAGTATCTTAACTATAGGAATTTAAAAAAATCTTAACTTAATAACTAAAGTATTTATTAGCAAACTAACAATTCTATAGTAAGCTAGTTTAAAAAGAGTAAAGTTTATTACTAGTATATAAAAAGACGTATTTTAAAAAGAGTTAAAATTCTATATTTAGAGGTATAGACGTTAGGTAAGCTAAGACTTAGGTCTTTAGTACTACTACCTCTAGTATAGTAGTTAAAACTTTTAAAATTTAGAGTAGTAAAGTAACTATTTTATAAATACTAACGTCTATCTATACTATAGTAAAAAGAATTATAATATAATTATATATTCTTAATAGCTTATAACTAACTAAGCTATAAATTATAAAGTAATAAAATACTAAAATATTTAGTAAGTAAAATTATACTTTTACTATATATATACTCTCTATTCTCTATTTCTATCTTTATTCTTATTTTTATTTTTATTCTTATTTTATAGCTTATAGTAAATTAGAGATTTAAAAACTTATTAAAGTAAATAGTAGCTTAAATCTAATACTAAAGCTATACTAATATATATACTAAATAAGCTTTTAACTATATTACTAATACTTTTTTTATAAGTTCTTCTAGCGTTAGTAAGTCTAAAGCTAATCTTATTACTAGTTATATTACTTTTATTAATTATATTCTTATACTATATTATATTACTTATTAAAGCTTCTATAAACTACTCTAAGACTACTACTAAAAAAAAAGCTCTTAGTTAAGCTATTTTAAAAATTATTATATAGACTATTATTAAAACTATTATAAAGGCTATTATTAAAGCTTTTAAAGTCTACTTAACTTATTTTATATTATATTCTAAGACTACTAATACTATTAATACTATTAATACTATTAAGATTACTATACTACTACTATAAAAGCTTTTAATAAGTAGATTAAAACTTTTTATAGTTCTTTATTATAGCTAAGTCTTTAAGTAACTTACTAGTAATATATAAAAGTTTTTTTATAAGCTATACCTACTTTAAAAAGAGTAATAAAATAGTTATTATATTACTAGTGTTACTTTTTCTATCTAAAGTAATTTATTAATTATCTATACTATTTATACTTATAACTTTATATATAAGATTAAGCTATAAATAGCTTTATTTATAAAGATAAAAGTAGCTATTATATACTAGTGTAAGATATTTATTAGAATTTTTAGCTAAAGTAATAATAAATAGACTAAAGAGAATAAAATATTTAAAGTCTACTTTTAGTATAATAATACTATTAAGAAGAGAGTTGTAAGCGCGATTATAGCAGCTGCAAACAGAATAGAAAGCGTAGAAGTAGCAAGTGTAATTTAGATAGCTAGAACGTAGTAGAGATTCTAAGTTAATTTAAGTTATATATATTATTAGAGCGTAGTAGCTAAAGAGCTAAAGATAGAGAAAGAGCTTAAAGAGCAAGAGCTAAGAGAGTAGTCTAGTTGCAAGAGAGTAGTAGCGAAAAGCGCACAGCGCATTTATAAGAACTTTAATCTAAAAGAAGTATTCTCTATAAAACATTCTCTAAGAACATTTAAAAGCATTAAACAAGTTTAAACAAGTTTAAATAAGATAACGCCTCCTTCTATTCTAGAACTAGTTATAACTAGTAAGTATTCTATAGTATGTGTGTGTATATA